TAATGTCTGAATCAGGTGTGTTGGAGCAGGGAAAAAACATAAAACCTGTAGGGCTGCAGCTGTTGAGGACCAGGATTGCTCATCCCTGTTTTAAAGAGATAAAATTCAACTACAAATGTACTTTGTTACAGCAAATGTTAATTTTGCAAATGCTTTTGTTTATTGCAGATCAACTTGGATTTCCACACCAAGAACGCCATCACTGAGAGCCTCCAGGAGCCCACAGCGACAAGCTTCCAGGCAGCTCAGAAGAAAGTCTACAGCCTGATGGAGAACAACTCCTACCCCAGATTTATCCACTCTGAGCTCTACAAAGAACTGTGTGCAGCAGCCAAGGGGGAGAGCCGGCACATAAAGTCCTAGTCAAACTGAAAACCCCACACCTGAAATCATTTGTTTATCGCTGCGACTGTGAACTGAGCACAGATAAGGTTTATTCTGAGCACCGGCTCGGGATAAGAAGTCCTGAATGCAAATTCTGGCCAAAAGCGGCGGCAAGTGTGGAAAATGCMAAGTGGAGCCAGTTTTAGTCCGTCCTGCTGAAAGACTTCAACAAGGAAGTGTGCCTGAAAAGGCTGGGATGTTACACGATGCTGCAGGAAGTGTGCAGAACATTTTTTTATAAGATGGAACTAAGTTACAGTTTGTTTCATCACAGGGTCGTTACCATCAATGCAATTTAATGGGTCTTGTGCAATGATGCAGCTCTGAGAGAACATCGTAGCAGGGCTGCGATGGAAGCTGAGGAGAGTTCAGAAAAGCCGACAGCGCTGTGAGAATGTGACACTTGAAGATTTTGTTTAGGAGTCATGCACTGCTCTTACAATCCGACATTTTTTTATGCTACATTTGCACTGGTTTACACAAAAACGTGTACGATAATGTCAACATTTCCACTCATGACTTTACATGGCTTGAACATCTTGTGAAAACGTAAATATTGTGAAATTACATTAATTGTGATTAATGCATATTTAAACTGTAGGCAGCTGGCCTGTTTGTGAAATAAAATGTTTGTTTTTAATACTGAAAACCTCTAATGTGTTTGTTTATATTCTCAACTCGACTCCATTTTATTTATGTGGCACAAATGAAACCCAAAGAGTTTCACAAAGACAAGACATGAAACCAAAAACCTGTTTTATCAAAACTGATTTAAAATAAATTCATTTGAAACAAAACAACAC